AATTGAGAATAATCGATATCTCAAATGTTGCCTAATCCTATACTATTGCTTGCACTCTATAATTTCACTCTAATCTTGTGTTTGAATTCTTTACATCATGTGAGTGCAACTTCGATCTAAATCAAGAGTGAAGTAATATCGTTTCAATTTCTCCTTGAAAGTAAAATTTGCATTGATATATGTTACTAGATACTTCCATAAATGCTTGGTATTTTCTCAAATGATGAAAATCATGAATATTCATTTCCAATTTTTTTGATTAGTAACCATTGTGTGTTCTTAATCAATACACATGTATTAATTCTTTCACATTTGTATACATTTATTCTTATCATGCAAACATGTGCTTTTTGTTTATATTTTATTCTCCGCAATTGTGCTTGAATGATCTATTTGCTCTATATTTGCAATATATGTTACTTGTTGTCTTGCTTACATGACATATATCTCATCTTCATTTTGGTTTTAGTAGTGACATATTCGTGTTGTTATGCTAGGCACATGCATATGCAGCGTCGGGATTTCCATTATGAAGTGTTACTTGTCCATGACGCTACAAAAACAACTTCACATTATTGTTATATCTTGCTTATTTAGTATATGCAATTAATTACATTTAGTATATGCATCATCACATATCTAAATGGGGATATGTGTTTGTTGCTCTTCTATGCAAAATAGCCTCTAATTGTTGTATTAGTATTATTATGGAACTATGTTACTTCTCACGATTTGCTATCTTTCTTTTTGATGTTGTCAAAGGGGGAGAAGAAGATGCGAGTCAAAGTAGGGAAGCACAAAGTCAGTGGGAGCCTTCAATAAATACAAAGGAATGAAGTGTCTCAAATTTTTCCATCATAAAAAAGGGGGAGTATGTGAGTACAAACTTCGTCGTCAAATGTTTTGAATGATGTCAAAACTAGGAAAAGCTTGCACTTCTGAGTATTGGATAGCATCCTTATGTCTTATGGCACTCCTCTGTATTAGAGGTCTTAGAAATCATCAAAAAACATCTTGAAATTGATCCAAGTCATTAAAAATAGTTTTTTGCATGATTTTTTACTACATGTGTCGACACATCCGTATTTACGATTGACACATGTAATCCATTATTAAAGCCTATAGCCTTTATAGGTCTTAGGTCGACACATGCATGATTCAGGTCGACACATACTGGAGGTTTTTGAAATTGCATAAATTCTTATTTTATGTGTCGACACATCCATTTTTCAGGTTGACACATTTACTATCGTTTTAAAGCCTGTAGCTTCTGACTTGTTTCGATCGACACATGGCTTCTCATAGGTCGACACATACATTTTAAAATTCACGTATGTGTCGAAACATATGATACATAGGTCGATACATACTATTATGTTTGGTTAATTCCTTTAAATATTTTTATTCTGAGTTTATCCCTTTTGCTCAAAAAAATTCCAAAACTATAAATACTCTTTCATGCATCATTGATAACTTGTTTAAAACCATAAAATTATCTTATTTCTATCTTCATCTTCAACCTCCAACCTATGCATACACATTTATATTATATTGTAACAATGTTCCATTGGGGTTCCATCTAGACGAGGATTGCTAGTGTCCAATTGTGTATTGGGTGGAGTTTTATAGGAGTTTTCATCCAGGAAAAACCTCGGGTTTATCCTCCAAGATCGTTGGTTGATTTGAGGGTTTTCGTAAAAGACGTTCGAGAGGTAATTACAGTAACGTGAACAACCTTGGAATTCTTAAAATCTTTGCAAGGAACCTTGGAGTGTTTGAAATCTTTGCAATGAAGTAACTTGGAGTACCGGATAGAATCGAAGTTTTGTGTTGAAATAGTTTGAAATTGACGGTGTGCGAAAGCTTTATAGATAAAGAACACAAATGAGTAGCAAGATCCAGATAATCATTTTTCATCTATTGTGTTTTGGTCTCTCTCAAGATCAAAAGTGGAGAAGGGGTTGAATCAACAACAAGCTTAAGGTTTGTGGAGTTACTGTTGAAGACTTCTCTTGTATCAACAATTTTGCATAGTAAGAATTATCCTAATTCCATTAGAATTAGGCGCAGACGTACCCAGACACGAAGACGACATTGGGGAACTGTGAAGATAAACTCCTTGTGTCGCTTTTATTTTTTTCTTTTTACTTGATTTGATATTCATTGATCAATTTGTCAAATAGCATTGCGTTATCATTTAAATTATAAGAACTTTCCTAATCAATTTTGATTTTATCTGAAGTGGTGATATAGCTTATAATCACTTGTAATTATAAGTGGTTTTATGTATCAACACAATCAAAGGAAAAAGTTCTGAAAATTCACTTATACACCAAGTGTTTGATAAATTGACTAAACTAGTTCTTTTAATATTACCATTGGAAATAGCCTTGCTAAGTGAAGTTGATTAAACAATAAATAAGTTCCAAGTGATTCAAGCTTATTAATTCTATTATCATTCATATTTCATATTGAATTTTGTTTTACGATTTGCATATCCGAGCTTCCCAATAACATTCGTATAGACGACCGTTTGAAAAAGCGTACACGTCATACTTTGATAAACTTTTTCAAAACCAAATTTATTTGCAATTTTTCAAAGGGGTATCTATTCACCCCTCTCCCTTCTAGATACGTTTCCGTCGTCCAACACTTTCCATCAAAAATTGAAAGTTTTGTATTCAAATTGTTTCTGCCGTTCATCTTCGTTCTTGTACACTGAAACTCAAACTCAGATCTCACCAAACACTTGAGTTTCCCGATCCCACAAAATCAAGAAATGCAAATATGTTACGATTCTAATTTTGAATTCAACATGAATTCAAGAAATGAAATCAATTACACACACCTCACGTACACTCGTGTTTCCATATGAATCGAGCCTGAGCTCTAGATATCAATTATTGGAGTACAAGGTTGAAGGTGAATATGAAGATGGAAGAAGAGATAAAGAATGATTGTAACAAACTTTTGGGGAGAGAAACTATATTGTAAAAAATTCTTGTAAATTAACGTCCTACTCTAAAATTAGTTAACGCACGTTGTTTAAATACACCAATAAAATCTGCCACGTAGAAAAACCTAAAAATACTAAACAAAGTTAACTGTCAAGTATGCATAACAAACTATTACTAATACCCAAAAGTTAAACACCATTTATGGAACAATCACCTTAGAAGCTTTTGCTTCTGACTAACAACGCTTCTGAATATGACTTACTTCTAACACCATCCCCTAATTCATATTCAACTAACTAAACTCTATAATACCAATTTCATCCCTCAAATGGAAAAAGCGTTCAATCTTGACAGCTTTCGTCATAACATCTGCAAGTTGCTTTTGAGTGCTACAGTGTATAACTTCTAGCAATCCATTATGGATTTGATTCCTCAGAAAATGAAACTTTGTGTCAATGTGCTTGCTTATCCCATGCAACACTGGATTCTTAACAAGGCTTATGAAATATTTGTTGTCAATCATCAACTTCACAAGCTTGCTCACCTTAATCTTCAGATCTTGGAACAAATTTATCAGTCAAACAACTTGACACACAGACAAACCACCTGCAATAAACTCAGTTTCACAAGTTAACAACACAACCACTGATTTCTTCTTGGAGTATCAAGAAATGAGACTTCTCAGATACTTAAAAAAAATATCCAGGAGTACTTCTTCTGTCAATTTTGTGTCCACACCAATCAGAGTCTAAATAGCCTATTAGCTCTAAGTCAGGTTTAACACCAGAAGGGAACAAGACTCCATACTTTAGAGTCCATTTAATGTACCTCAGTATCCTAACAACATCTTAGTAATGAGACCACTTTGATTTGTTCATGAACCTACTTACCATTCCAATTGCATAGCAAATGTCAGGTCTGGTGTTACACAAATACCTCAATGAGCTAACCAAATGTTTAAAAGTTGTAGCATCTATATTATTACTCTCAGCATTAGAATCCAGCTTGTGATTCATCTCAGCAGGTGTGATTGTTGTCTTTCAATTTGTTAACTAAAATCTCTTAAGAAGCTCAAGTTCATACTTCAGCTGATGCAAAATTATACCCTTTTCAGAGTACATGATCTTCATCCCTAAAAAATATATCATAATTTTCAGATCAGTCATTTCGAACTCATTCATCAGTACTTTTTTGAACTTGACTATCTCATCTGAACAACTCCCTGTTAACAATATGCCTTCAACATAGAGACACTAGAATCATATTGCTTTAAGTATGCTGAACATAAACGCCATACTCCATTTCACACTTTCTAAATCCTTAGAGCTCGAATTTTCGTAGTTGAAAAATCCCCACTCAAATTTTCATAGTTGAAAAATATACAGGGGCATTGAGGAACCCTAAAAGTGCAACCTATAGGCCCAATATTGTTCAAACAGTTTCAACCCTGGATATGTACAGTGAGTATGCATATGTACAATAAGTCTGTACATTTAGGCAGGATATTTATAGTTTCCCATTTCTTCATAAATTATAAGGAACCTATAGTTCTATCAGATCTTGATATTTTCTTAGTTTGCAAGTTGAATTTTGGAAAGAATGGCGAAGATTAATTCTATGGAGTTAACTAGATATGCATAATGATGAGTCAGTATACACAAAAGTTTGGTGCTTAGTTATTTCAAAAGTTTTCTTCGAGTTTGTAGTGCTTTATCATTTTGAAAGGAGTGTTTTAGATGGCTAAATTTATGTATATTTGTTATTTTGAAAACATTGAAAAGAACAACATCTGATCATATAATACTCAAAAACGTTGTACTGTCCTTAATTTAAAGAGATGGATAGTTAGCATAATGGAAACAAAACATCAATTCTATGATTTCAATATATTCAGTAATTCAGCATCATAAATCTTGTTGGTATTTATCTGAGGTATGCTATGACAGACATGTTAGATTTTAGACAGAAACAAATAAATAAAATATAACATAACATAACACTCATCCCACTAAGCTAGGCTCAAATCTCATCTACTACTTGTGATTACTTTGCTGTTTGTTCCAAAACAGAAATATTGTTCAAAGTTTGTTCCAATGGTGGCAACGAAAACATGCTGACTGTGGAGCTACCACTTCTGATTTCCTGCAGAACATTCAAAGCAGATATTGTACTCTTCAAATAGAGGCTCTGCATTTCAGATATCTCCTCTGGCGTAAAATGATCCGAGTTTGTCAAACTCGTGGAAGTAGAAGGATCGTCGCCCTGTTCAGCTGACTCGGCGAATGGGAAAAGGGCATCCAACATTGTTTCACACTCTTTTATAAGCTTGTAGAGCAAGTCTGTGGTAAAGAATGGTTCTTGCAAGACCTTCTGAATGAATGGCAACCGAATCAGTGCTCCTGTTCTCTTATCATACTTCTTTAGTATTTTCACTAGTCCTGTACGCACAAAATTGTAGTCGTTATTATTAATAACAGAGAGATACATATTTGAAAAAGTTAGTTGCTAAGCGGTGATTAAAAAAAAAAAAAGACCTGTGTAATTAAGGGCACTGTAGTTTTCAAGCAAAACCATTTCTCCATGGAAATCTACAATATCCTTATGAATTTGAATCATTTGTTCATTGGAACCCTTTCCTTTAGCCACACAATCTTGTAACTCCTGCGCATATCATTCAACACAACCATGTAAAAACCCTAAACCATAGATTGAAACCAAGCATGCATAGAAACGGTAATGATCATTGGTACCTTGAATCTTATAATGCACTCTTCCTCTTTCTCGACGAAGAAGCTATTGAATTTGTGGAGTTCATTTTCAAGGGAATTCCGGAAATCAGTTTCTTCATTAGACATATCACCATCGTGGATCCTAGCTCTTTTGTTGGGGCGTTCATCGGCGGGTGGTGGAAGAAGCTTCAATTTCTTCTTGAGTAGCTTGTAAGAGAGAAACTTGTCGCGCCATTGAGGAACAGTTTTCTCGATCTGGTTGTTGAGACTCTTTCCGAATTTCATGGTTTAGGTTAAAGAATAGAAGATGGATTGATTAGAGATATAATAACGGTAGGGATAGAATATTCGGTGGGAATATTGTTGGAATATTCGTTGATTAGAAGGGTATATTTTGGGTTTTATCCTCTCCGACCTGGTTAGATAAGAGAATTTATTCCCATTCAATACAATTCAACCAGCCTATTCAAAGGTGGTATATTCCAAGATTATTACTAAATTTACAACCATTTTGCTTCTCTTTATTTTATTGTTTATTTTCATAAATTGACTACTTTCCTGCAGCAAACAATGATTATAATAGACACACAAAATTAAATTCAAATATCTAATTAAATTTTAACAAAAAATCATATAATCTTATTTAAGTACTCTTGAGTATTTATTTTTAATTATCTATTTTTTTACATATTTAAAATTTTAATAAATTTTGTTATATTAAATTCAATTACTTTTTCTATTTTATTTTATTTTGAATTGCAAGTTTTAAAAAGCTTGCAACCAAAAATAATAATTTATCATTTAATTCAAAAAGAAATATAAACAAGAAAATATTTTAAGAGTTGGTATATTTGATTTAAATTGGATATAATAATTTTTTGGAAGAGAGATCAAACTATATTTAGGGGTTGAAAAAACAGACCGTTGTCCTGTTCTATTTTAAGTCTACTAAAATAAAAGTGAGATGTGCAAGTCCGTCAAATAGAAATGGACATAAAATATCTAGTTTGCTCCGTCAATAGGGCGACTTGATGGACGGCAGACTGACTTGTTTACTTATTTATTTATTTATTATTCATTTTTTAAATATATTTTAAAAAAATTACATTTCAATTAGATTTTTCTCTTATTTTTTAGAACAATTTTTTATAAATTATTTTTTTAACAAAATTTACTTTAAAAATTAGTGTATATATTCATAAATAAATGCATAAAATAAAATCATCAAAAATTAGACATATTAGAATTAACTAAAAAAGATCGGACTTAAGGTGGAACAAGCTGAACTAGTAAACGCGACGAACTTTGACGAGCGGCGGGCTTTGATGGAGCAGACTTAGACGGACGACAGTCTTTAGCGAAACGGATTTTAGTGTAAGTCGGGTTCAAAATCCCAATTCAACCTGTCATTTTTAACGGGCATACGAACCGACCTGATGGACCACGACTCATTTTGCCACTCCTAATTAAAGCAATTTAATAGTTACATTAATTTAAAATCATTGATATTATCTTAATCTAATGGTTAAAAATAACAACTTATTGAGTCATGATTTTTACTTAAAATAGGCTCCTCCTATTTTTGCTAATAAATAATTTCCATATTTTTAAAAATAATTTCTTTTCTTATAAAACAAAATAGGTTTCTCACACTTTTTATAGCAATTAAATAATTCTTCATTAAAAAAAACTTATTTCTAAATATTTCTTAAAAACTCAGGATTCAAAGTTTAAAAAAGTAGTTCTCTTATTTTAAAACAAATTTCACTTTTTTTATTTTTTTAAAATTAGATCGTACTATATTTACTTAATGTAAACAACAAATTTGTTTAATTTTAAATAAAATACAAAACAATACTCAAAATGTGTATAAAAATACAAAAACTAAATAATAAATAATTAGTACATAACAATTTAGTTGCGAATAGAATACAATCTTATTTTTTTTAAAAAGTGAAATTTATTTAAATTAAGAATACATAGTTTTTTAATTAAAATTGAATTTTACTAAGAAATATTAAAATTCACGTATTTTAAGAAACATTAATAAAAATCACGTAATTTTTATTTATATACTTTTTTTAAATGTGATTTTTAATATTTCTGATAACAAATATTTTTTTCTATAAAATAATGTTTACTCTCACTTTTAAATAAATCACAATTTTTTTAAATAATTTCTATTCACTTATTCTTATTAATATTTCGTTAAAATATTTAATTTTTAATATTTATTAATAAAAAAGTTTATTTTTAAATTAAAAATAAATATTTTTTCTGAACTTTAAACATATTTAACTATTTTTTATTTTAAAAAAATTATATTATCTTTACTTAAAATACACTATAAAATCAGAATATTTTTAAATAACATTCAAAATCTTATAAAAAAAACAAATAACAAGTAATGATTAACCCAGAAAAACATATAAATAAACAATAAAATTTATAAGTTTTCTATCAATTTTAAATATATTTTGTTCTAGACTGGCCCGACAGTCAGAGTGGGTTCAGTCTGACCTCTTCTTTCGGAACGACCCATGCACCTATGGCTCGAATCTACCACACTCTTTGTCGGGCAATATCGATCCTTTGCCCTTTCAAACCGACACTAACCTAAGATGATCGACGAGCACCTCTCAGTCTGTCCGACCTCAAGTCGTATAGACAATCAGGAATCGACCAGATTGCTGCCTGTAACCTATCCCCTCCTCGGATCTAACGACTAATTGCGGGTACACCTGCCCGGTATGACCAAGTCCTAGTAGTTACCTGTTTTTGCATACACGCATATCTAGGCCCAAAAACAGGAACCAATGGCCATGCGCCAAGGGCATTATATAAATCCTCACATACGTGAGGGTCAAGTATCGAAAATTCACTATTCACCACCAATACCTTAACACTTTGCTTGTATCTCTTTGCTCCCACTCTTACTTGATTGTCGGAGTTCCTTGCAGGTACAACCCCATCTTTCCTCCTCGACATAACATCCTGACTGAAGATCATCATCCGACCATCTTACAGGTCCTGATCAACCAGTAAGATCTGTGGCGCCGTCTGTGGGAAACTGCTCTCCCCATCCTTCTTTCCTCGAAACTCAAAGATCAAAGCAAATTTTCAAGATTTCTTTCACCAATCATGACCGACCATGATGATCTCCACTTGCTCGGAAAGGATATTCTTTCCCCAATGCACAAAGTCGACGGAAGTCAGGAGCATCCTCACCTCGAGGACAACCTAGGTTTCTGAGACGGCCAGATTGTGTCTCCAGATTCAACTGACGCCCGACGCGGCAACAACCAATTCTTGGATAATGGACATCCCAAGAATCTCACCGAGGAACTGCAAGAAATCCGGCAACCAGTTCCCATTCCTCACAATACCGATTCGGCCATGACAGCATTGCTCGCTGCCATCAACCAGACCAACACCCTCATCCTACAATAGAACTAAAAGATAGGGGCCTGGGAGAACAAGTAGTCAAGATCTCCTCCTCAGAGAGCCCGACGACGAGACTCCCCCAGTATATCACCATCTAGGTGTGGCCTCCCACCAAGAAAGGAGAAGCGCGATGTTTCTTTCTTCAAGAAACGCAACCGCACACCTCCTACGAAATATTTAGACTCTCCTTCATCCGAGAAGAAGAAAGGCGTCCGACAAATCGACCGTGTTCGACTACCTTCACCCAGACCGAGACAGAAGCAGAGGAGTCCCTCCCCCCGACGAGACCACGATGATTGACGGGGTAGAAATTATCACTCCCCTTCTCCATCACCCATAGAAAGTGACAACGACGAGCCACGCGGCCCGTTATCACAGGAGATTACCGAAGCCCAACTCCCAGTCGGACTGGACAAGCCACCTCCACTGGAAACCTACGATGGAACGAATGACCCCGACGAGCACATAGCGAACATAAATGCTCTCCTCGATTATCGATGAGTCAAAGGGGCCATTAAGTGCAGGTTGTTCCCAACCACTCTCAGAAAAGGAGTAATGTCCTGGTACAAGAGTATCCTAGAAGAATCTATCACCTCCTGGAAGCAGCTTGGGAGGATATTCTCAAGGCACTTCAGCGCCTCCCGTCGACATCCCAAGTCAGAAGCTTCAATCGAAGCGATCATCCAAGGCAAAGATGAATCTCTGCGGGCATATATCGAACGCTTCAACAAATAAGTAGTACAGGTCTCCACGACCGACAACATGAAGAAATATCTCCTCGAGCGCGAGCTCCATCCCCGCAATGAATTTGCCAAAGTAGTAGGCATCGAAACACAGGCCACACTCAACTCCCTCCTCCTCAAGGCCCAAGCGTACATCTAGTACGAGGAGAAGGAAGCCGCTAACAGTGCTTGAGAATCGAGGCACAAAGGAAGTTCCAAGTCCTCGAGGAACGACAAGCCCTCGACATCTCGTCGGGGAAAAAAGAAACGGGAAGACAGGTCCTGAGACTCCAAGGACTACAAGGGGTCAACTGGTTGTTTCTACGACTACACCCCTATGACTACCTCAAGGGAGTGTATTCTATCTGAATGCGCAAATTCCGAATTGAAATAGGCCGGGGTACGCTTCCCCCGACAGACACCTTCTAAATCGGGGACCGAAAAGAGAAAATATTGCAGGTTCTATAAAAGCCACAGACAAAATACCGAGGATTGCATTCATCTCAAAGATGCAATCGAAATATTGATTCAAGATGGGCACCTCCAACAATACAAAAAGAACGATAGCGCTCGTGAAGAAGCACCAGAAACTAAAAGTGTCGAAGAGGGGAAGGAGTCCCCCAACATCGACACCATACTGATCGCCATGAGCATCTCATGGCCGGAAGATTTCTACTACCCCGACATGGAGAATGTCCCGTTGTACTTCTCCTCTCACAGTCCTTGGGAATCATTCCCCGTCGCTATGGTCATCTTCGGCGGGGGGGATTCAACAGGCACACGATTGAGTCGGTAAAAAGAAGATTCTACCAACTCATCGAAGCTAACTCGGATATGGACGCCACATTGGACAAATTCCGAGGAAGCTCCCATCCCCTTGCTTTCTACAAGGAGGAATTGTCGGGCGGAGCCCCGAATTCGACTATCCTGCTACTCATGAGAGCCCGTATGGCGAGTTTCGACGTGCGACACATACTGTTTGACCAAGGCAGCTCAGTGGACATCATGTACACCCAGTTGTTCACCACCTTACAGCTGAATGAAAGCCATCTGACTCTGTACGTAGGATCAGACCTCCAGGGCTTCAATGGAGCCAGCACAAAACCATGGGGATATGTC